GCGCGGCTTCTCCAGTAGCTGGTACACCAGGTAGGAAGGCTAAAAACAGGCACATTTTATCCAGAATTATCGATTGTGTGAAGTTTTGTGGGGCTTTTGAGTTGGCCTTGCATGGGTATGATAGTATTACTGTATGTTGTTTTGTTGTTGCAGTTCTGGATTAACAATTAACAATTTGTTACATTTAGTTTGATCATAAAATACTGTATGCTATTCTTCCAGTCAAAGGTCTGAGTTCAGCCACTTGATATCCATTTCTATATTATACATCCTTTATACAGTGGAATTTTCTATAAACTTTATATATATAAATAAAGGCTTGTGTTTGTGCAATATGATGTTTATGTTTTTGTGTAACAACTTTTTAATATTGGCATTAAAAAATTACTGACTAATTCACTGAGCACGGCTGTCCTGCAGTTTGTGTTAAATTGTATTGCGATGGTAACAGAAACAAAAAAGTATGGCACAGCCCCACCGAGAATATTTTTCACCAGCCGCCACTGCTGGGGGATCAGTTAGAATATTTTACACTTACGTGTGAAAGGGTTCCGTCCAAATGACCCTTTAACCCGCAGATTGGCTACTGACCAGTCTAATGTTGAACTCGCAATGCCCATTTTTAATGTGCCGTTATTCAATATTTCATCTGATCTTTTGTCCCCACCACTTTTCAACACAAACTGACGCCCCTGAAATTAAACCATATGCATGCCAATCTCCTTCCTTGCTTAACCTTAGCACAAAACCAAATACCTTGTTATGACTTAAATTAAAATGTTTCTGTATAATTTAAAAATGTATTATAAAAGATGCTGATTAGTAAATGCATACCGGTTGATGCCATTTAATTCCTCGATTCTGTTGTCCTTTTCCATGGCATAACATTTGGAAATTAAAGAACATGAGCCGGTCCAGCAATGCCAAAATGTTCCAGCAGCCTTTATCTTTATGAATTAATTCCCCACATGGACAAGAATTGGTGGTGCGCAGACATTAATAAATAACGTTAGTAACAAATCACTAAAATGTGGAGTTAGAGGTCAAGCTATTTGACTGCTTTTATTGCTTGGCCACTCGATCAAGTCCAAAAGAGGCCCAAAAAATTACAAATCCCATAGCTGGCCAACATGTGTCTATTGTGAAGATATCCAAAATCTTGTTCTTGAAAAGAAAAATGATTAACCTACTAACAACTTTGTTGTAACTACTTGCAATTGTAATTCAATTAGACGTAGTCTGTTTGTTATTGCTGCTCGTATCTGACCTAGGGTCTTTTGTTTTTGAGCGGTTTGTTTTTCCATCAGCTCCATGCCAGGGGTAACCCTCTGAGTCTATTGCGTGTTGGCCCTGTTTACATTCCAACCAGGTTTTTCCACTCCTAACAGGGGGCTTCTCTCTCTCTCTCTCTCTCTCTCTCTCTTCCTAACTTTCGCTTTCTCAATCCCGTGGTATTGCTACTCAATTACCTTACAAAAGCAGGTTGTGCAAACTTTTATAAAAATATTCAAAATGCATGCTTTAGAAAGAAAAAACTTATGCTACATAACTTATGCTACATAAAAGGTCCGGGATTGTTCTTTTTCACTGCAGAACAGCGGTACATAGTCTGACTGGCCGGACCTCTAGGTTTAAACACATTCAATTAAAAAGGACTATGTATCCACTTGGCTAACAAACAAAAAAAGGACAGAAAAGCCACCAATGTCTGCACACCTCAGGCTAATATAATTCTGAGTCATTAAAAAAATGGAAAGTGGATGGAGAACAACAGATAAAGCAAACACACGCTGCCCACAGACATATTCAATATAAACACTCACCGGCAAATGATTAAGCGGCACGTCAACCTGTCCCAGGAAATCATCTCTTGTCTGCAAAAAAAGAAGAACTGCTTACAGTAGTGGCAATTTTGAAGACATTCCGACTTGCTTTCCAGCCGCAGGGCTTGACAGAAAGAAAGAATTGACCACAACGATCAGAGGAATTCTAGTGCGTTATACTGTTAATGCTGAAACCGTTTAAGCTACAGTCACCATGTGTCTTTTGGATTTTATTACATCTTTACTTAAACAAGTTGTCACAGGTGTGGTGCACTGAAAGGAAAGGTCGGAGGTGAGCATATGATTGAGACCAAGGTGCTAGATCGGATAGATAAGGGAAGTTTGAATTTAGAAATGGAGGGCAATGTCAGCTATGAACCAGAGAGAATAAGATACATTTGAAAAAACACCAGCTGAGAGCGTAAGGAGCGTTTCAGAAGAGGAAAGGTAGCCGAGGTGAGCCTCTATTCAAAACACCGCTGCCACCACTGCCAAAAGGAACAAGGTCAAAGGTCAGGCGAAAGGATCATTGACAGGCACTAGACCAACCCAAAATTACCTGTCCCATTCTGGTCCCATTCTTGGATCGATCTGAGCCAAACAGAGCCTGTGTAATGGAATACAATTTGTTTAGGAAAAAACAGGAAGCACAGAATTAAAATGGCCACGTACGGTGGGAGTGAACGTTTCTGTGGAGTCGCAAATGCTTAGAGGCAATCTGCTGGTGTTTCATCCACTTTTAAAAGTACAAATTATCAGCGTTTGCCAAAGATTTGTGATCAATATGACACAAGTGCCTCATGAGCTTAGTGTAAATTATATAGTTATGTTGAAACTATAACTGGTGGTTCAGGGAGGGTGACAGCTCTCTACTGCTGAATGATTAATTGCATTTAGAATATATTGCGACATGATAAACAACTCTGGTCCAGTGACACGCGTGAATAAAGCAGTATGGAGAGTAAGCGTCAACTTGGCACGCCTGCAGTACAATGGCCTCAGGCTTGACAGAACCTGACACTAAGGAAACGTTAGTGTCGAAGAGGAACAGTATGTCAGTTGTGTGGGCATATTTTGCCTTTAAAAAAGGAGATGCTAGCGTTGCTGACGATGCTAGCGCTGCTGACGACGCTACTGCTGATGACGCTACTGCTGATGACGCTACTGCTGATGACGCTACTGCTGATGACGCTAGCACTGCTGACGACGATGCTACTGTTGACGTCGCTAGCGCTGCTGACGACGATGCTACTGCTGACGACGCTAGCGCTGCTGACGATGCTACTGCTGACAAATCCAGCGCTACTGACGATGCTAGCGCTGCTGTCGATGCTACTGCTGACGACGGTAGCGCTGTTGACGACGCTAGCGCTGTTGACGATGCTACTGCTGACAACGCTAGCGCTGATGACGAAGCTACTGCTGACGACACTAGCGCTGTTGACGATGCTACTGCTGACGATGCTAGCGCTGACGACGCTGGCGCTGCTGACGACGCTGGCGCTGCTGACGACGCTGGCGCTGCTGACGACGCTGGCGCTGCTGGCGACGCTGGCGCTGCTGACGACGCTGGCGCTGCTGACGACGCTGGCGCTGCTGACGACGCTGGCGCTGCTGACGACGCTGGCGCTGCTGACGACGCTGGCGCTGCTGACGACGCTGGCGCTGCTGACGACGCTGGCGCTGCTGACGACGCTAGCGCTGCTGACGACGCTAGCGCTGCTGACGACGCTAGCGCTGCTGACGACGCTAGCGCTGCTGACGACGCTAGCATTGCTGCCATTCAAAAACTTGCTAACGTTGCTACCTCAGTGCAAACTTTTTTTTCTGCACTTCGTGTGTTATGTTTAAGGCTGAAACAATAAGTCAACAATATCAAAAACGTTGACAATACAAAATTGTCTACAGATAGTTTTGTTGTCAACAAGCTGTTTGACCTTATAGACCATTTTTAAGTGCCTGCAATAAAGTAATTCGACCAGTACGACGCTGTAGCTCTAGACTGTAATGCAGTACTCCCTTATGCAATCCAATTGAAGAAAAGAGCGCCAAAATGTCATTGTGCAAACGGAGAAGAACCAGTCACGTGCGGGTATGTTCAAACTGATATTATGTCATCTTTATTGCATGCAAGGTAGAACTTGCTTCAATGGGAGCACAACATGCATGCAGGAACATTTAAAAGGAAAATATCCCAGCACAAGTAAGGATGAAAATGAGATTAGTGTGTTCCAGCTAGAACTACGCAAGATGGCCAGTCAGCTGAGGTGATTTCCTGGTTTGATTATATGTTAGAATAAGTAGAACTCAATGTTCTAACGAATTGCAAAAGCTGATTAATCACTTGGAAAGTAGATGATTAGTAAACTAATCGTTCAAATAATCCTTAGACTAATAAAATAATATAATTGTTCATTTATTTAAAGACTGTCTAGAAAAGTTCACAGACAATGTTTAAAGTGCTATCTACATGTTTACATATCATATGTTTATAACAGGGACTTTAAAATATCTAAATACTGAGTGTGGAAAAACATTTATATTAATGTTTACACCAGACTTATTTGTCAGTGTTTTATGTTGTTATGATAAATATAACAGGTTTACAAGGCTGGAATTTAAAAAAATCTGTCAATATGTGATGTAAGAAATATATAATTCATATAAATGCATGCACCAACAAAGTTCATCATAACATATAGGCCTGACCTACAGGTAAGAACAGTTTATGGTTAATCTAATAATGTCTTGGTCATAACATACGCCACTAGAGATTCTATATCTGAAAAGCACTAATAAATGCTGCGCCATCATTCTTTCACACTGGACATACCAACGACATTTTAGCCGGACTGAGTATTACACAAACAGTAGCCATCGGGGCTTCCTAAGAAGGGCTCCTTTTCAAGTGGGTTTAACTGACACTTAATGGTAAACTGTTACCAATGAGTCATAGAGAGACAGAACTGGGTAAAGAAAGGATCTAAAACACTGAGCCGTAATCCGCATCTAAATATGTGGGGTTTTGGAGTGTAAGGACCATTTCATTGGTTGGCTAAGCCATGCAAGCTCAATAAACATAGATAAAAGTATTGAAAATGATTATGAGGTCACAGTAGTGCACACAGGATAACCACTAGCACGCAAACGCACATTAGATTTTTTCAACTGGCTAAATACGAAATAGCTCAGTGGTAGAGTGCATGCTTTGTATGATGTATGATGTTCGGGGTTCAATCCCCAGCTTCTCCCCACGTCGCCATTGCAAATGAGAATTTGTTCTCAATGGGCCTACCTGGTTAAATAAAGGATAAATACAGAAAAAATGAGAGGCCATAACAAGACTATTGAGCATAAACTGGGATCCGAAACAGTATTCCGAGCAGAAACATGTTTAAAATTGTATTTTTTTGATTACATTCAACATTATTGTCATTGGAGAGTACAAGTACAGTACAACAAAATTAAATTTAGGTCCAACCAGAAGTGCAAAAGAGCAGTGCAAAAGATATGGAGTTATTGTGAGGATGTGCAACTGACATGGATGTATATGTGCAGGTATTCAGTTCAACAATGACGCAAATTGCAAATGTGCAGAGGGCAACACCAGCAGAGAACATCTGTGCAAGTGGTAAATGAAAAGTACGAACAGATTAGCATTGTGTAAAAGGCAAATATAATAAATAGGCAAAAAAATTGTTGTGCTGAAAGGTGAACTTCCTGTTCATCTTTAGCTTTCTAATGGTAGGCCCCGGTTCCAGCTAAAGAAAAACAGCCCAAAAATCGACGTTGCCACCATCATGCTTCCACCATGTGGTTATGGTGATTTTTGGGTGATGTTTTTGTGCCAAACATACCTTTTGGAGTTATGGCCAAAAACTTCAACTTTGTTTTTGCCTATAAAAGGTCACTTCAGTTTTATGTAGAGTGTGCACAGTAGAGGGCAAGTTAGTATGCCATCAACAGAGACACCAATTCCTCTATTTACACGCCAACTGGTCAGGTGTTACAATAACAGACCTACAAAGCGGAGATTGTCATCAAAATAACCAGTCAGGACAGTAGGTGAGGGCTTATTATTGACAGGACTAAAACTCCCATGTCTCTGCCCAGAAATGACTCAATGTGTACCATCACCATAGATACAAACTCCTCTATTTACTCACTGATTGGTCATGAGAGACCCTGACACAGCCACACAGGTACAAGCCAGAGATATGATCAGAACAGACGGTAAGGATGAAACATGAGGGTTTGTTATTGACACCCTGTGTTGAAGTTCCCATTTTTTCCCTTCCCACATAAAGCGCCTTTTCAGATACGACTGATACTGCCAGGCTGGTCTGTAAGTCAAATATCTCGTCAGCTATTTTTGTATCAATATCTGTGGAGTCAGCTTGGTTCACATCCAGAGAAAGACTGGGTACAGGTTAGAAATAAACTCTGGGCCGTATTTACTACGACTAGCGCAGTTTGTGCTGCGTCTGTTTTGCGAGTTCGCTAATAGCGCACGCTATGCTTCCACATTTGCGTAGTATTTATCAAACCTGACACTCACACGCAATCTGCGCATACCCCGCCCACCATTAGCGCGCCTCTAAAAGCGCAAACAATTTACCATGGATCATACTACGGGACAGAGAAAGCACAAGCTTCGATTTTCGGAAGATGAAATCCAGATATTAGTGCATGAGGTAACAGCAAACCTAAACATATTACAGGGCAGAACATCCACACCCACCGAAAAAATAAAATTTGCCATAACAAATAAAATAATCTGTAACGTCGGATGAGTTGTTGTTCGCTTAATTGAAAAAGAGTAATTCTCGTGGCATAAATCCTGTCGGCTCGCCATCTTGGCCGATGTCTTCACCTTGCTTTGATCACTGCTGCCACTGAGGTCCATTTGAACACACAGGGAAACGTGCTATCTAGTTAAGACCTGCTTTTAAGAGGCGCAGAATTTTACACTCAAAATTGAGTCGCGCAGTGACTGGCAGTCTTTGTAAATACCACGGAATATATAATTAGGTGCAATTAACGCGTTTCCTCCCACCTCATCCCACTTTCCCCATGACCCTCCCACGAACGCATATTAAAAGTGCGACTTGTATCTTCACGCTAATGTGGCACGCAATCTGCGATTTTAGCCAATTGCGCCCTGTTGGTAAATAGCCCACATCGGTTACGACCGTCTTTGCGACCAATTACCACCTTAACAGGCGCAAACGGCATGATAAATTAGTCTCTCAGTGTTCTAAAATCATACTGGAAATACATTTAGATGTACTTGTACATAACAGATGTACCACTGCACAGGTGCTATATACAGAAATGCTAAAGCTCTAAGCTGTAAAGGCAGTGCCTGGGTTAACTAGCTTTTATTTATTCATAGAAACTATTTATACTCATTAACTAGAGTGCCTTAAGTGTCATTTACAAGGACACCTTAAGTTCAAGGACACCTTAAGTAAAAAATATTGTGTGTTAAACAAATATTTTGAAGCTGTAGAAACAGTGTGTACAGTAGTTACAGCGCCTATTGGAAATCATCACACCCTGTCAAAATCCTAAACCTTTGTCAAATTACACCCTGAAAATGAAAATAAATTAAATTATACTTTGCACTGCTGTATTTACAAGTTATAACCATTGTTATAAAATAACAATCAAGAATATTCTAAACAATTATTCGAATGTAGTTAGTGAAACACCTGGTTCAAATTAGTGATCAGCACTATAGAGTAACCATTATAAAATAACAATCAAGAATATTCTAATCAATTTTTAGAATGTAATTAGTGAAACACCTGGTTATAACCATTATGAACTTGCTCAGGTATAACCAGTCCCTTCCCAGATCACACCAGGCTAATTGTCCCCCACCGGACATCAGCTGTAGTGGTTTTGATTACTTCATAGAAAACCGGCTGTTCCAGGATAATTCCATTACTAGTAGTGCATGGCAACGCAAAGACTACACCATAGTTGGAAAGGTGCTTTCAAAAGTTATGGGTAAAAACGTATGGCACCAACACCTTGTCTAAATCGGGTCGTCTCTCCAAATGACCGAGCCAGAAGGATAGTGAGCAGGGAAGCTACCAAGACCCAATGGCTATTGGCTACGTTAAAGGACATATGTCCTTATGGCTGAGATTGTCACATGCACAGACCTACCAATCTCACAGGCTTTACACATAGCTAGCCTTCAAAAGAAGCCTCTTCTGAAAAAGGCCACATGGAGTATCGCTTGCGCTGAGCAAAAAAACACTTGGAAGATTCTAATGCTATGTGGCAAAAACTTTTATGGTCAGATGAGACCAAGATTGAACTTTTTGGACTGACTGCAAGCGTTATGTTTGGCAAAAACCAAACACAGCACACCACCCATAACCGTTGCCTTTTAACATTACTTGAATGTTGTAAAGCAAAATGTCTAAATAAAGCTGGAACCCAAAAATACTGCTTTGATTTTAGGCTGTAAGACAAAATAGTGAATATTTAAAAGGGGTATGATGATTTTCTACAGTCATTGTATGTTATTGCTCTTCCAGTTCTAAAGAACAGTGACATTTAACTAACTGAAAAAGTAAAACTACAAAGCTGCCTATAATGTAAAAAAAAATTGCAGTCGATATTTTACTGGCAGTGGGCCAATACTCAAGCACATAATCTAAAAAAAATGGTTCAGTGACAGACATGTGCGGAATTTATACAAATGACTGATGATTGGCTGAAAAAAATATGTAAGTGTATGGTGGTGTTAGAACTTATGGCAGCCTGGGATATTATAACCCATAATGTTATTGGGAAAATAAATTGATTGACTGTTGACTAAAATTTAATTGAAACATCTGATAACACATGTTTTCTATCATTTATGCAAGCGTCTTGAATATACAACGTATCTAGTGAGCAGATCCATTACTGCTTTTCCTTTCTGAAATGATTGACTAACAGCCTTAAACCAAGCATGTGTATTTATGTGAATTATAAAACAAAATTTAACACATTAACATATACAACTACTAAAATGTCTGTAAGCCTAAATAAAGTGTAATAGAGTTGTAGAATTTAGAACTGGAAGTAAAAAACAAGTCTTCAAAATATTGAAAACAAACTAAACCTGGTAAAGACATGATGTGGCTGCTCAGTATGAGAACTAAACTTCACTGTAAACTGTAAAACTGCAGCAGTAGAATGAAAAATAATTTTTTTATTGGACTTAAGAACATCTTTTTTGTTAGGAAGTCTTCCCAGGAAACGTAAAATAAACTTCCTATCATGGCACATGACAGCGGATCTCAAAACACTAAATCCCTTCCTCTTGCCAACAAATCATCAAGCCTGTGATTAGGTGAAACGCTCAAGTTATTCCAGGGCAGCAACAGTAAAATGCCTAGGCATCCCAGAAGAGACGTTTGACAACCAGTGGAGTTGGCTAATAGGGTTCTTGATAAAGTGAAAACTTCAGGGGGTCACAGCTGAAGCAGCAGCTGCTTAGATGTGCCGTATTTCACTTGGAAAGGAGGAGGTGAGGCAGTTAGGAACGTGGTGGTAAGAGGTGAAAAGGTCAATTGAACCAATAGGAAACAACCATTCAATATAGCAAAAAGGGGAACATAATTATACAATTGAGGAAAAGAGGAGGGAATGCAATGTCATATGGAAAATGAAGGAAAAACCAATCACGACTCACTCAGTCAACCAAGCCCCCCAGCCCTAGATATGCTTTCAGCTGAGCAATGGGAGATACAGTATAGACGGCCCACCCATTTCAAACATAAAGTAGGTTAGATTAAATTACAATGCAAACCTCACTGTCTGTATACCTATGTGCTTGAAAAAGCTCCCACAACAATCCCTTCCCGAGACCCCCGGGCAAATATAGCCTCCTGCCGTCTAGTCATCCAGCCAAGCACCGTTGTGAATGGCAACTTCACACTGTGACACTGGCCAGGGTTAAAGCTGTAGCAAGGGCATAGGCCTAACGACAGCCTAGAAATTTAATTACTTTCTGGCATACGAACACTCATTGAGGCCGCCGGCCCGTCAATTTGAATGGGGATGCCCGTTCCATTCTAGTTCGGCTATTTCTATGGGCAGAGCCACATAACTGCGGTGTCTGCTGGCAGACTGGCACATGCAGTGGACTTTGTTTTAAGGCCAGGGGCACCACTCTACTAGGCAGGAAACCACAGGGCACCATGGGAAGCCTGGCTGTCATTAAGGACTATAAAGATTTCCCCTTG